CTTTGTAATGCTTCGTTTCTGTGCTAGCGTTTCACGAGATTCTTGCGACATGTTTACGTTCTACGATTTGTCTTGTTTCAAAATGAGTCAAACGACGCCATTCTTTCGCTGATTTACATCCGTCTTCGAAGGACCATAATGATAGATGCGATTGTTTACTTGCTTTTAACTGCCTAGCTAGCAGTCCTTTGTTTTACCCAAGAAAAACAGCGAGTAACCGAGGTAAAACTTATATTTTCTTTTCCTACAAAACATGTGTTCTTAAGAGCATGCTTACTGCGCATGGGCTTGCTAAATTATGCTAAATACTTTATGTAATACATATGACGCGTGTCCACCGTCATTTTCGCACACAATTTATTAACACAATTGACTACAGTCAGCAGAAATACTGCATATATTAGAGCCTGTTGATCAATAAAAGTTGGGTTTTTGTAGGTAGCCGCGCATGCGCAGCTAACCACTATGTGAGAGACTGAAGCGCGATCCTCCTTGGCTCTGTGGCCTTCGTGTCCGCGGTGTCCTGCTGCGCGGTTCCTTTTATCCTTGAAATACGATTCGTCTATAGACCACATGCTAACATAACGCTCATACTGTATAGAGATTTGTATAAATTCTTAGTAAAGTCTTTATTTTACTATGTTTTGTTAGGTTGAAAGTAATTTCCAACGCATATAGAATCGAATATGTTGTTGTTTAATGTTTATATAATCACAAATTGTAGAAGGGTCATTGGGGTATTGTCATATTTAAACACGACATATCAGTTTGATCAAACATTGTATACGTATTAGAAAAATATAGTAATTTATGATATAGCGCTCGATGATTGGACATATTTTATGATATCAACTAGTGCAAAAATGAAAACCACGTTAGCCTATATCGAAGGAATGTTGACGAACATATATATAATATAGAATCGAGTATGGTGTTGCTAACTATAATATGTGAGTGTGTTACATATTTGTATTATATTTTTCGAATGCGCTAGTCGAATGTGTAAATTAAGGCAAATAGAAAGCCAAGCACGGTTTACACAAGTGTCAGTGACAGTGGAATATTAGTGCACGAAGTCTTTGGGATATATTTGTCCAATATTGAAAGCAAGCCGAATGTCATTACCAATACATATGGGATAGAATATATCGTTGTTTAATCATTACTAAACTGAATATCGTCATCTTTTTCAACTCCGCCGGAAAACATCATCCTTAGATCTTTGCATGGACTATCCTTGGAATTCAAACTTCACGAAAATTGTATAAGTAGCCTGTAAACCTGATCCTTTGATGTATGCTGTCCTTGAACAAGAACTCTTCGTACTGTCTATATTTCGTCCTGTGAAGTATTCCGTTGCGTATACATATAAGACATTGCATGTCAGACTGTTGTGTCTGTTCAGTGTGTGCAAATTATTTTTGACACATTAAAATACTTCGTAACTTCTTAGATCTGTTAATGTTTATTGAAAAATGTCGTTTACGTATTTTTTGTCATATCTGATGTTTTGTATGTGATTAATTGTGTGTATAATATTTCAACTGTGTCCAATTTACTTAATACTTTATTTCAGTAAAGGCCAGGATTATAGAATACCCGTCCATTTCTGATACTGTTTATTTTTGGGGGGATACGGTGATACGCAGTGAATGAAATGACGTAATTATTCGAGTGTTTGGGCAAATATTAAGTTTCAATGATACGGGGATACGGTGATACGCAGTGAAGGAAATTACGTAATTATTCTAATGTTTATGTTTCGGTATCAAAATAAACGGGGAATCGTTAATCAAATAATTAATCTATATTTTCAAGCACAAAATATTACTCATATATTGTAGTTCTCGTTCTCAATAAACCCCGCACAAAATATTATACTCATATATTGAATTTCTCGTTCTCAATAAACCCCGCACAAAATATTACTCATATATTGTATTTCTCGTTCTCAATAAACACCGCACAAAATATTACTCATATATTGTATTCCTCACGTTCTCAACTAAACCGCGCACAAAATATTACTCATATATTGTATTTCTCGTTCTCAATAAACCCCGCACAAAATATTACTCATATATTGTAGTTCTCGTTCTCAATAAACCCCGCACAAAATATTATACTCATATATTGAATTTCTCGTTCTCAATAAACCCCGCACAAAATATTACTCATATATTGTATTTCTCGTTCTCAATAAACACCGCACAAAATATTACTCATATATTGTATACCTCACGTTCTCAACTAAACCGCGCACAAAATATTACTCATATATTGTATTTCTCGTTCTCAATAAACCCCGCACAAAATATTACTCATTATATTGTATTTCTCGTTCTCAATAAACCCCGCACAAAATATTACTCATATATTGTATTTCTCACGTTCTCAACTAAACCCCGCACAAAATATTACTCATATATTGTATTTCTCGTTCTCAATAAACCCCGCACAAAATATTACTCATATATTGTATTTCTCGTTCTCAATAAACCCCGCACAAAATATTACTCATATATTGTATTCCTCACGTTCTCAACTAAACCGCGCACAAAATATTACTCATATATTGTATTTCTCGTTCTCAATAAACCCCGCACAAAATATTACTCATATATTGTATTTCTCGATCACGTTCTCAACTAAACCCCGCACAAAATATTACTCATTAGTATAAATTTTGCATATCAAATGAGCACGTCATCTTAATGACTGCGTATCCCCGTATCATTGAAAAATAATAGTTACCCATTCTCCTTTTAAACTACTCAAATAATTACGTCATTTTAATGACTGCGTATCCCCGTATCCCCGTATCATTGAAAAATAATAGTTACCCATTCTCCTCTTAAACTACTCGAATAATTACGTCATTTTAATGAGTGCGTATCCCCGTATCCCCGTATCATTGAAAAATAATAGTTACCCATTCTCTTCTTAAACTACTCGAATAATTCCGTCATTTTAATGACTGCGTATCCCCGTATCCCCGTATCATTGAATAATAGTTACCCATTCTCCTCTTAAACTACTCGAATAATTACGTCATTTTAATGACTGCGTATCCCCGTATCCCCGTATCATTGAATAATAGTTACCCATTCTCTTCTTAAACTACTCGAATAATTTCTCTTAAACTACTCAAATAATTACGTCATTTTAATGACTGCGTATCCCCGTATCATTGAAAAATAATAGTTACCCATTCTCTTCTTAAACTACTCGAATAATTCCTCTTAAACTACTCGAATAATTACGTCATTTTAATGACTGCGTATCCCCGTATCCCCGTATCATTGAAAAATAATAGTTACCCATTCTCTTCTTAAACTACTCGAAAAATTCCTCTTAAACTACTCAAATTATTACGTCATTTTAATGACTGCGTATCCCCGTATCCCCGTATCATTGAAAAATAATAGTTACCCATTCTCCTTTTAAACTACTCAAATAATTACGTCATTTTAATGACTGCGTATCCCCGTATCCCCGTATCCCCGTATCACTGAAAAATAATAAGTTACCCATTCTCCTTTTAAACTACTCAAATAATTACGTCATTTTAATGACTGCGTATCCCCGTATCCCCGTATCATTGAAAAATAATAGTTACCC